CCTATCCACCATTTAGTGGCACTTGAATAATTCACATCCTCCTACAGATTAGTCTTCTGGATCAATGCATTGATTTTGGGAGCAGCTCTGATCCTCAGAAACATTCCTTTTGGGATTTTTTTATTTTATTTCTTTTTAGGAGCTTTATACAGGATGATCCCTGAGATCGTCAGCTCTTTGTTTACAAATATTTTTTCCTTTGGGACAGCAATGCTGTAGTGAATTGCTGACTTAAAACTGGAAGCTGGGAGAGGAGATTATATGTTTTAATCTTGGGGATTAACTAGAGGGGATCATCGTCGCGTAGCTTTAACAAAGTTGGGTTTCCTTGTTTGAAAAGAAGGACTGGGGTGACATGATAGCATCCCAGTATTTGAGGGGCTGCCACAAAGAATAGGGGATCAGTTTATCTTCCAAAGCACCAGAAGGTAAGATAAGAAGGAATGGATGGAAACTAATCAAGGAGAAGTAGCGTCGAACTAAGGCGAATTTTCCTGACAGAACAATGAATTAACCAGAGGAACAACTTCCCTCCAGAAGTTGTGGCTGCTCCATCACTGGAGGCTTTTAAGAAGAGAGTGGACAGCCACTTGTCTCAAATTGTATAGGGTCTCCTGCTTGAGCAGGGGGTTGGACTAGAAGACCTCCAAGGTCCCTTCCGGCTTTATCCTGATGGATTGTTTGCTGGTGTTTTGAATTTAATTCACCCTTCTTCCAAAGCACCTACTTTGGGATTCAGTCCCTTCTCCGAATTCTAGGAAGAGTTGAGAACGTAGTTTGTGACATCTGGCCTAGGATGGATCTAAAATTTCCACCAGGGGTGGTGGTTTCTTTTTTAAATAGGTGCTCCTGTCTCGTGATTGCTTTTTTCGTAGCAATGAGGCTTCTTCCCCGTCTTGGCTTTTGCATCTTTTGCAGTCTGTGCTTCTCAGCCCAGGCAGGAACACCGCTGGAGAACACTTTGGTTTGGGGTGTGAGGAAACTTGCTTTGAAAAGGCACTTTCAGGGGAGAAACCTTGAGCGTTCTCCTTCGTAAATGGACACACTGCCTTTGCAATTAATTTATAGCAAAGTTAATGCTTTACTCTTCTCTCCTGAGGCTTGCAGAAAACGACTGCCTTTTATATAGCTTTGCAAAAAGAAAGAATGGAAGAAAAAATACTTATATCTGTCCAAGACGGTGATTTTGCAGCACAAGGGGACCAGAAGCAAAAATTTCTGAACTAGCATCGGTTTTTTGGTCATCTGGAACAGCCTTTTTCTAATTCGCCCTAAGAGATTAAGGGAATAAGCCCCAGTCTCAAAGCATCCCTGTTTTTGTGACGACATTCATTCACCTGGGTCTTCATTGACAGGGAGTCCTCGAATTACGAACACAATTGAGCCCCAAATTTAAGTTGCTCAGCGAAACATTTGCTAAGGGGCCCCCATTTTATGACTTTGCTTGCCACAGTTGTTAAGTTGACTCATTGCAGTTAAGTTAGTCACCTGGTCGTTAAGTGAATCTGGCTTCCTCTTTTGACTTCCTTGTCGGATGGTCGCAAAAGGGGATCACGTGACTCCGGGACACTGCAACCACCATAAATAGGAGTCAGTTGCCCAGCACCTAATTTTTGATCACGTGACTGTGGGGATGCTTGCAAAGCTCATAAAATAGGGGAGACGGTCATCAAGTCGCTTTTTTCAGAGCTGTTGTAACTTTGAACGGTCACTAAATGAACTATTGTAAGTCAAGGACTACCTGTATAACATGTTGAGCCTTTTTTTTTCTTCTTAAAAGTTTTTGTGCTTTAGGAAAGATCTTTTTGCTTGATACCTTCCTCTCTGATATCTGAGAAATACACCTGAAATAAAATACTTTAAATAGGGGGTTGTTGGTTTCTCCCGCCACCAAATTTCAACAGTAACAGTCAAGAGAATGCGGAACCGAATAATAAACCATAATTAATAGTAGGTGTTTGTTTGCTTGCCGCTTAAATGTAGCAGGTGAAATTCGGCATTTTAGCTGTTCTTTATTCCAGGCTGAATTGCTTTTTCTTTTATTCTGGGTTGTTAGAGGTTATAAACAGCAGCAATATTTAGGAAGGAGATTCTGAGCAATTTACAAAGGTTTCCTGGATCCTAAACCTGAACCAGCAAGAATGTTCTTACTAGGATTGCCTTGTCTGTCTGTGTGGCTTCAGTTTTTCCCCCCAAAACCTAACCTAACCACCTTATCCTTTCTGACAATCCCTGAAACCTGGCTAATGGATTATCTTACTGCCTGGTGCTAAGATTTTGAACACCAGCTCAAACTGGCTACTAGACTAGAGGAACCTGAAAGATACCCTTCAATGTTTTGTGATGCACATCCAGTTCGACGTACAACCACAGTTGAGCCCACACACGCCTGCTGTTAAGCGAGACGCTTGTTAACGGAGCTTTGCCCCGTTTTACGTCCTTTCTTGCCCCCGTTATTAAACGAATCGCTGCAGATGTGGCATTAGTCACACGGCTGGTCAGTGCACCCGGTCTTCCCTTTGGCTTTGTCATAAATACGAGCCGGTTGCCAAGCCTCTCAATTTTGATCACGTGACCATGGGGAGGCCCCCAAAGTTGTAACTCTGAAAAACGGCCCTAAGGCACTTTTTCCAGTGCCGTTGTAACTTTGAACGGTCACTGAATGGATTGTTGTAAACTGAGGACTACCTGTATGGTTAAACCAGTCCCTGGGGCGGGGGGGGTCAAATAACATCCTTTTGCTATAAAGCAGCCCTAATGCTCTTGGGCTCTGAGTGCTATTTTTTTTCCTTTTCACCTAATCAATACGGATTTTCTCTCTCTCTCTCTCCTGCATTAGCCTTTTTTAGATAAAGCCCCGTGCTATTTTCAGTGCTCCAAGAACAGTTTGAAGGTTGCCAGCCCTCCAAAGAGTGCATTAAATCTTAAATAACAAAACCTATCGCTAAGGTAAAAGACATTTTTGTGAAAAAAGCCTTAATCTTTCCATTTACTCTGGCAGCAGAATCTGCGGACTTTCAGCTGGGACATTATATTATTATCCTTTATGAAGGGAACGGGTCTTATTTAATGCAACCTTCTGCATGCAGTGCTGCGTGCAAACCAAAGTAATTCAACTTTTTTTTTAAATCTTGCGGGATGCTAGTGATGGTGGATGTTACTATCTTGTCTATGGCAGCTTCTGAGAATCCTAGTTCAGTATTAATCAGATAATCAGAGTTGGAAGGGACCTTGTAGGAAATCTAGTCCAACCCCCCCGCCCAAGCGGGAGACCCTACATCATTTCTGACAAATGGCAGCCCAGTCTCTTCTTGAAGGTCTCAAGTGATGGCGCTCCCACAACTTCTGTTCCACGGGTTGATTGTTCTCACTGTCAGAACTTTGTGAATAGTTGGACAGTGTTGAGGGAATTCTTTGTTTAGCAGAGCGATGGCATGGAGGAAAAGACCGTCCTTGTGTCTAGTTGTTCTGGTGTGCAGGGCTCTGTAGCATTGCTTTGAGGGAAGGAGTTGAAACAGTCTATGTCCGGGATGTGAGGAGTCTGTAGATATTTTCACAGCCCTCTTTTTGCAGGATGCAGGACCTCCATGGAAGGCAGGTTGGTAGCAATTGCTATTTTCTGCAGTCCTAATTCCTCTCTGGAGTCTGTGTCTGTCCTGTTGGGTTGCAGAACCAAACCAGACCGTTACAGAGGTGCAGATGACAGACTGATGCAGAGTCTCCAAGGGCACAGAGAGGACAGTCATCCAGATGAGAGTCAATGAATGTGTGGGGGATAATGAGGGAGGGGGGCTCCTAATCTGGATTTTGCTTTCCGGGGTAATATTTTGAATCACAGACACAGGATTAATTAAATGGAAATGTCAGCCATCCCACTCCGCCATCTAGCAAAGAAAGACTCACAGCCATTTGATTTGATATTTTTGGCCAAGAACATACAGATAGCCTTCGACTTAACAACCATTCATTTAGTGACCGTGCAAAGTTACAATGGCGCTGAAGAAAGTGATTTACGACCTTTTTGGGGGGGGGAGGAAGCATCACCACGATCAACGTGACCCAAATTCAGATGCTGGGCAAGCGGTTCGTACTTACGACCATCGTTGCTGCATCCAAAAGTCATGCCATCCCCTTTCCTGACAAACCGAGTCCGTGGGGAAGCGAGGTTTACTTCACACCCGGATTGGCTAACCTATCCGTCGCAGGGATTCACTGTACAGCCGTTGCTAAGGCAAAACTCACTTAGCAAACATCTCGCTTAACAACAGAAATGTGGAACGCCATTGTGGTCATAAGTCGAGGACCACCTGTACTTTACTGAAGCTTAACCTGGCTATAGAAGTAGCATCTTTTTTTTTTGTTTTTGTTGTTTTAAATGTGGCTTTTATATTCTGTAAGCCGCCTTGAGTCGCCACGGGGGAATAGGTGGCAATATAAATTCAATAAATAAATAAAAATTAATTAAATTAAAAAAATGATAAGCCGAATCTGGGGCTTTCCCATACAAACAATACAGATCCTCTTCCCC